TTCACAAGTGTAAAAGGCTATGACTCAGCTTATTTAACAATATTGTTAAAAAGAAGTTTTAAAAGCCATAAAAATGCTAGAAAAAAAGGGTATTTTGTTTTTCACATTGTGGCAGTGGAGAATGGCTTTCAAAGTATGACACAATCCTTAAAAGGAAATGAATGAAAAGTAATTAAATAAATATGAAAAATTTCTGTAATTTAAACATACAGTAAAAAGAAAGAAAACTTTGTCAACCTAAAAAAGTCAAATGTCAAAGAGTGGGTATTTCCTTAATAATTAACCAAAGAAAAAAAAAGGACAAATCAACTCATAGAAAAAAAATTAACAGGAATATGTCAGAAGATGTATTTATTTATTATTTTTTTGAAAGGCAGAGTTACAGAGAGGCAGAGACAGGTAGAGAGAGAGTTCTCCCATCTGCTGGTTTACTCCCCAGATGGCTGCACCAGCATGAGCTGCACCTATCTGAAGCCAGGAGCTAGGAGCTTCTTCCGGGTCTCCCTCATGGGTACAAGGGCCCAAGTCTTTGGGCCATCTTCTACTGCTTTCCCAAGCCATAGCAGAGAGCTGGATTGGAAATGGAGCAGCTTAGACTCGAACTGGTGCCCATATGGGATGCCAGCACTGCAGACCATGTCTTTGTCCACTATGCCACAGTGCCAGCCCTAATACACTTTTAAAATTTAAAAAAAAAAAAAAAAGATTTATATACTTACTTGAAAAGAAGAGTGACAAGAGCAAGGGGGGGGTGTCTTTTATCCTCTTGTTCATTTCCCAAATGACTGCAACAGCCATGTTTGGGCAGGCTGAAACCAGGAACCAAGAACTTCACCCAGGTCTCCCACATGGGTCGAACAGGCCCAAGTACCAGGTTCTTTAGCAGGCAGTGGATTGAGTCCCAGCTGCTCTGCTTCCAAAGGGTGCTCTGACACGGGATGCCCACACTGTAAGCAGCAGCTTATCCTTACCTAGCATGCTTTGGGAAGTAGACTCAACTCAATTATATAGAAAAGTTTTACCAAGCAACAAACTTGGTAAAAACTTAAAATTTAGTATAAACCCATCAAATGATGGATAGAGACAAGCCATCTACCACGTTTTTGTGCACAAGTATGAGCAGTAATTTAGTAAAATGTTCCCTACAAAAAAAGAACTACAAATCGTGTCTTAGGAAGTTCATTTCCCACTTTTACTGATATTCCTGCACAAGTATACAAAGCTACACATGCAATATACTTTCTGCATTATTTTTGTGAGAGTAAAGAACTAGAAATTATATCTATTAAATGGTGACTAGACACTGAAAAGATGAAATAGTCACTGTGAACTATTTTATAATAGTGATAAAAGGGAAATTCTCTTTGTGATATGGTAAGTTCCAGAAAGTATTTATAAATCAGTCTAGGCATTACCTCATATTAAATGTTAAGTTTCACATCTCAGGAGCAGGGTAGCATATGTAACAGTGGTTACTTCTAGGGAATAGATTTGGATATTGACTTCTCATTTTATACCATTCTATAATTTGTGGTATTTCTTACTTGTTTGGGTTTAACAAATTACCTAAAATAAAATTTTGCTTACTAGCCCATGATAATCGACAATTACTTTTTCAACAAAAATGCTGTGTGGTTCTTTCCTAAATCCTTTGTGTCATCACTTAATTGTTACCACAGTTCTGGCAGAGAGATTTCCACTGTGGCTGGGAGGTGTAAAGTAGTTAACAACATTTCATGCCCCTAGGAAATAATGAAAACTAATCTTAAATTGAGGCCCATTCACTTTCTGAGCATATCTTAGGCCCAATCAAACGATGGCATAACTGTGTTAAGAACAAGCAGCACAATGGCCTCTCCTTTCCATTCATTCTTGGCTCCTTTTAAAATGTTATTCTCTTTGCAGTCCTTGTGTGTGTCCATTCATTCAACTGTTTACCAGTCTGTGCCCCTTCTGAACTTGGGGGCACTCGCAGTGGATTTAAACAGGCACAGCCCAGAATCCTAATAAATGCAGACAGGACAAAAACATAGGTCAATTGTAGGATTTTGTCCAGCGGTGATAAGTTATTGGCAGGGAACAGAGCAGAGACAGAAGCGAGGGGAAGAAAGCTGGCAGGAAGAGGGCAACAGGAGGAAGCATAGTTTGAGTGCCCAGGGGTTTCCAGGCCTTCGTCAAGGGCTGCACACTCTTCATCTCATTTAGTTCTTACCAGTCTGATATTTAGTTTTCTCTAATGTTTGATTATGAGAAGAAGAGCAGTGGATATGTTCTTTAGCTTGATTGTGGCAACCATTTAACGTTGTATACATACATGTTGGAATTTTAATAACTTATGCCTTTTTAATTTTATTAATATTATACCAGATTTCACATATTTCATAGGTACAATTCTAAGAAGCTAACCATACTTTCCTCCTACCTGTTTCCCTCCCTCAATCCCCCTCCTTCCTTCTTTTTTTCTTTTCTTTAATGCTTGCAAAAACATCATTTCTATCCATTCTATAAACACAGGCTTAATGCACCACTAACCATAGTACTCAACAAGTAAAAAGTAGTAAGACCACAATTCCACAGGAGTATAATGAAAATCTCGAAAGAACAATTATATCACAAGGTGTCTGTTTGATGCCTATGCAATTATTCTATATTAACTTTAAAACATAAATGGTTACTTAATTCCTAACCCCCACTCACATAACGAGGGCCTGGTGGCCTCAGGATTTACTTCTGTCATATGATTTCTAGCCCTAAATGATCTTTCACAAAGCAGAGTTTACAAATAATTGTGCCTTTGTTGGCTTAAGCATATTGCCAATTTTATTGTTATTCTAATATGTTCATTTAGTGTTATTATAGATATACATAAAGTAAGATTTACCCTTATATGAAACACATTCCTTTTTAAAAAGGAAACCCCAACATTGTTTTCTCTGAAATGGGTGCCAGGGTGGAAAGTGCATGTTTTCCTCAAAGACCATGCTTTCAGGTTGGACTTGGCTGGTTCTGATGTGCTAAGCTGTTCAGAAACTGTTGTCCCTGGGCTTTTTTTTTTTTTTTAATTAAATGAATAGAAATTTACAAAATACAACTCTTGCATTGTTGTGGCTTTTCCCCCCATAACCTCCTTCCCACCTGCAACCATCCCATCTCCTACCCCATTCTTCATCAAGGTTCATTTTCAATTATCTTTATATACAGAAGATCAACTTAATATATACTTTAGTATATACTTTAGTATATACTAAAGATTTCAACAGACTGGGCTTTTAAACACCCAGCAGCTGCTTCTGGGAATGTCAGTTTGCCTGTCTGAACAGCCGGCTCATGGCAATGTGTGACGTTTTCCTCTGCAGAGACTTGGATGGCACCAGGCCATCAGTTAAATACAGAACCAAGTAAGACCAGTGCCAAGGCAGCCATCTATTTTGTGTCTATTTGCTTCTGAAATATCTGTTGCTAATAATATTCATATTTTCCTGATGATTTACCAATCCTTTCAATATGTGTAAAATATGACTTTCAAAAGTGTCTTATCTGGAGACCTGTTGTGTTGGCAAGTATTTCTGAATTGTCATATTGGTCTGTGAATATGTACAAATGAGAAATAAGGTTAAGAAGAAAATATATCAAAGTGGCTTAAATACCAAACAGATAGCTATAAGATTTTTAAGCAATATATGTATTAAATTAACATTTATACCATACTGCATTTTCACACGATACAGCCAACCTTAAAAAGTTCCAGCCACGGAACAATTGCCTTTTTTAAGTTTCCTGGAATCTCTAGGAGTTATTCATTTAAATGGAAAGGATAATCATGATAAGATTTCTTTGAGTGATTTCTATTCTCTCCTAATTAAGTGGTCTGAAATTTAGAAAGCTCATCCTAATATACCTAAAGTGTTTTTATGGATCATTAACTTTTAAATAAACATGTCAGTAAAAAAAGCATTCTGAAAAATGCCAGAAAGAGTTGCTGGTTCCCTTTCGCATCATGTCTACTGCCTGCAATGTGCTGCCACACACATCTGAAAGGGACAGCGTGGGCACCCTAATGACAAAAACTGTCTTACATATGACCTAATGGACTAAATATACTGCTGGCTGTTATTCTTAGCTTGCTTTATGTCAAAGTTGACTTGAGACATTTATCCAGCTAGCCTGCGAGATCCAGGCTAATTTGACCTTCTGAAGATTTTCCTGTAAGAGTCTGAGGATTTCTTTCTACAAATGAAGATTTAATAATAAGAGGCCCTCTATCTCCAAAGCGCAAGTCCTTCTGTTTTGATTAGCTATAAAAATAATGACTTTGGAAATGATTTAAAGGCATTTTTTTAAACATTAAACATTCAACCTCTATAGTAATTGCATTTAAATATTATTTAATAGTCCTATTTGGACTGAAGATGTGTAAGGGATTTCATTTTTGGCAGGAGAACTTTGCTGTGCATGTGAAACTAATGTAAAACAAACAGAAAATGATAAATGGTTAAGAATGTTCTTTGAGAACAATAGGCTGTTTCCTTTTTTTAAGCCTGGTTGTCATCTTTGTTGATTGACAGAATGTCCAATTGTTTTTAGGATGGTTAATCACAGAGCTCTTCAGTGTTATGCTCTTTAGAGAAAAACACATTTAATTTAATATTCACAAGATGAATTTTGCAAGCCCAGTCATGACACGGAAGTGAAAATAGGCTTTTCCTTCCCAATACACTGTTCCTGCTCCCAATCTCAGTTCGGCATCTGCAATAAAGATTCTAAAGGAAAACGGAATGTATTAGAGATGGCTCTGCAGAGCAGTTCCTTTTGTTTCTCTGGCCTCTGACTTACTTGGATGGCAAAACAGCCAAGAAAAAGAAAAAAAAAAGTACTGCTGAGTAGCTCAGATATAGGTGATGGGTCTTCACATGATCACAAAAATAGACTCTGATGTGCCATACCAGTAGCGTGATGTGTGTGAGTTTTTTTTTTTTTTTTTCAATTCCTCTGGCAGTGAGCCACACACTGGGATCTGACGTTGTAGGATTTTTTTTTAAGCATATTTAAACTCTCACACACTTATGTAATGAGAATCTTGGTGTAAGATTTTTCTGCGGAATACCATTTGGTCCTATTAAGAATTGTCTATTCAAATGTTGGAGCATTTGATTGAAAAATCCTTTTTAGCCCTTCTAAAGGTAAGTCATATGGTTTTTCTTAAATAAAAAAAGATGTAGAGACTCCCACTCCCAACTGATGGGAGATCACACTACTATGGAAAGACTCCTAAGATATTTTATTAATAAAGACAACCAAAAATAGTAGCTCTTGTCTTAAAGTCACTAGGCTTTATTTAAAAACCAGGTGTGTTGTGTTTTCCAGCTTGTCAATCTTCTACATTTTATGTTTGTGAACTATTAGAACTGTGTTCAAAGATATTTCACTATTTGATGTTTAGTATCTTTTGTTTGCATGCAAACATTTATTTGCTAACATTTAAAATGATTTACAGTCTGATTTGGATTATTGTAAAAATATTTGTTTTGTGTTCAGTCTATTTATACAAGATGCTTTGATAATGAAAATTATCAAAAATAATACTAAATATAATGGGATTTATTTACATAAATGTCTTGTTACTCCGGTCAGAATGCTCTGTAGTATGCATTTTTTAACTGATTATTAATTTGCAGAATCATTAGTTTGCTTAGTTTCCAGGCTAAATTTCACAGTTCCTTTTGGAAACTGAATTTGTCTACATGATTAAATTCAGTATGTATCTTGGATATGTGATTATTAAGCATTTTTCATTAATAAAGATGCAATAATTGTTCCCAGGAATTTAAATTTTAAATATTGACATTAATTAGTATAAATTAGCTTACAATTTACTAGAAAAATAACTAAAATAAATGTTTTTGGCAATTTAGTGCACTGTTTTCTTACATGAAATAGAATTTGAATAAGGGACAAAGCATTCTGGAGAAATTAAGAGGCTCGCTTATCCAAGTAAATTTCTAAATAACTGTAAATGGCATAAATTCTGTATTTTAAATTTCAAACAGTGTCTGCAGTTATCATGAAACATTGATAAAATTTTTGTAAAGATTTGCAGTCTTTTCCCATTTGGTTTTAAGTCAGTGATGTCTGTTGAAGTGGAAAGAAAGCAATGCTGAAATGAAATATCTAAAAAGTTTTGTTATATAAAGAATCTAGTCATTCTTTGACATTCATTAAGAGGAAAAATGTAGAAATCTTTTTATATACTAAAGTTATTAGTAAACCAGAAAAATGAACCAAATACAAAACTATCAGATAACAGCTTAGCCTGGGAGGACTATTATAATTACAGTTGGAGAGGTACTTGTACAGAGTGTACTGAAAGCTTTGGAACTTATCTAATAAGTAACATTACTGCCTTTATTTTATGAAAGTTTTAGCCAACTTTGCCCAAATATATTTGCTATGTTTGTGTTTTCTTTTGTCTGCTGAAGGAAGCAATTCTGTAATTATTTTCTGATTTAATCATGTTTTAGTTCACTAGCACAAGATTTTGCTAAAAATTTCAAGTAACATTGTTTTCAGTTTCCTTTCCATTTGCATGGTATTTTCATTTCATGTATATATGTGTATAAGTGTATATGTAATCAAATTTTGTTATAAGTTTAAAATAATCATTACTATTTGTATAACATGTATACATTTATTATAATTCTGAAACAACCTGGGCAATATGAAGTAACCTTGTTATGTTATAGTTGCTTAAAATGACATTTCAAAATAACATTCACCATGAAAATTTTATACATTATTACATTTAATTTTATTTAATACTTTTAATCTTATTTGGTGTACAAAAACTCGTTTATGAGAAAATTGAATGACAAACTCTAAGAGCTTCAAATTTAGCTCTCAACTTCAGCTCTCAACTTCAGACCCACAATCCTAACCCCTGTAAGCTTATTAGTATCTTTCTGTTTATACTAGAATTTTGGGTGTGAAAAAAAATATAAGTTTTGAGATTGAGTTTTTCTAGGCAAACCTGTTTAAGTTACTATTACTCTATAAGAGGCATTTCAAACTTGTAGTAATCCCTAGTTCATATGCCTCTAATAGAAGAATTCATTTTAGAAGGAACCTGAGTATAATATGTGAAGCCCAATACATTTATATGTATGATTATTATTGTGATATTTGAGTTATACGATTTAGCTGGGTGTAGTATTGTTTTATATGACAAGTATCTATTCAGAGAATATTTATATTGTATATTTTTACCTGCATATATTTTGATAGTATGAAAAGGCACATACAAGAAAGTCAAAAGATTATGGTAACTTCTATACCAGAAGATGTTGGTCATCTTCTAATTCTCCTATTTATTTTTTGGGTAGAGGCATTGGGTTTTATTCAGTAACTCAGAGCCCAAGTACAGTGTGACTGAAAGTTTGAATGGGTGCAATTCCTGCCCGATTTTTCTTTTTTAAAAAAATATTTTATGTATTTACTTGTGAGGTAGAGTTATAGACAGAGAGACTGAGAGACACAGAGGAAGGTCTTCCATCCACTGGCTCAATCCCAAAATGGCTGCAATGACTGGAGCTGGCCTGACCCAGAGCCAGCAGCCCTGAGCTTCTTCCGGGTCTCTGATATGGGTGCAAGGGCCAAGCACTTGACCTATTTTCTGCTGCATTCCCAGGCAGTAAGCAGAGAGCTGGATCAGAAGTGGAGCAGCCAGGACGTAAACAAGCTCCCTTTAGGGATGCTGGTGCTGCAGGGGGAGGCTTAGCCTACTATGCTACAGCACCACCTACCTATCCTCTTCTTATACCAGTTAGCTTTCCTTTGCTCAAATTTATTTTTATTTTTTTTACTTTTATTTAATGAATATAAATTTCCAAAGTACAGCTTATGGATTACAATGGCTTCCCCCCCATAACTTCCCTCCCACCTGCAACCCTTCCCTCTCCCACTCCTTCTCCCCTTCCCTTCACATCAAGATTCATTTTCAATTTTCTTTATATACAGAAGATCAATTTAGCATATATTAAGTAAAGCTTTCAATAGTTTTTGTGCATCAAATTTAAAAGGAGATTTCTATATTTGAATAGTACTTCATGAAGGTGGATCTAATGGCCTTCTGTTTCCAATGATGAAACAGAACCAATTTTAAAAGATTGGCTTGCACCTATTTCTATGAGATTGGATTTCGATCTGTTATCTCATATATTTCTAGGGAACCATGGCATGGTTTGCATAGAGTAAAAAATCTGGAAAGACATTGTGTTAATTTTGGAAGGAAACTAGATTTCATACTTTTTTCAACCTATTGCTGGATTAATCATCCCCAGTAATTCTACAAATTGGATTTTATGGGCAAATGTTGCATTTCTTTGATGAGGAAGAGTCTGTGTATTAAAAAAATGACTGCATGTACTTAATAGAATCACAAGTGTCTGATCTAGTTTCCTATCCTAAGAAAAAGTGGAAGGAAGGTTAATGGAAAGAACAGGAAATTTTAGGTATCCAATGATCATCAGGAAAATGTCATGTGGGTACTGGGACTCATTGGTGGTACAAAAACCCTGGAAATCTGAAACTATTTCCAATTTCATAGTTCATATCCCAGAAAAGTTACCTCTGGGTGGAGTTTCCCAGGGAACACAGCTTTGTTCACACATGGGAATAATTATAGATTCTCTGTGGATTTGCTCTCATGTTCCAGTCTTTTTTTTTTTTTTAAGATTTATTTATTTGCTTGAAAGTTGGAGTTAAACACAGAGAGAAGGAGAGGCAGAGAGAGAGAGAGAGAAGTCTTCCATCCAATGATTCACTCCCCAACTGGCCACAACAGCCAGAGCTGTGCCAATTGGAAGCCAAGAGCCACGAGCTTCTTCCAGGTCTCCCATGTGGGTACAGAGGCCTAAGGACTTGGGCCATCTTCCACTGCTCTCCCAGGCCATAGCATATAGCTGGATCAAAAGTGGAGCAGCTGGGACTTGAACCAGCACTCACGTGGGATGCCAGCATTGCAGGCAGAGACTTAACCTGCTACGCCACAGCACCCACCCCTCTAGTCCATTTTTTAGAGAAGCCTCTTATAGTTCAGTCTACTACAAGTTTTGCAATAAGTTCAGTTCTTGAATCCCCAAAATATTGGAAGGTTATGTTGCTTAAAAGTTCATTATAAAAACACTCCATTAATTTGACATCAGAAAAAAGAGAAAGAAGTTCTTTTTATCCCTCCTTTCAAAAACAGCCCAAGGGAATAGTCTACTTGTGAGTTCTAAAAAGGAATATGATTTATAATCTATGAATCAGCAATCTTATTCACCTTGAGAATCAGGAAAGGTATGTGACTAGTAACATCTTGTATTCTGCCATTTATTTTCCTTTCTTTCCTTTTTAAAAATGTATTTATTTGAAAGGCAGAGAGAGAGAAAGAGAGAGAAAGAGAGAGAAAGAGAGAGAAAGAGAGAGAGAGAGAGAGAAAGAGAGAGAGAGAGAGAGAGAGAGAGAAAGAGAGAGAGAGAGAGAGAGAGAGAGAGAGAGAGAGAGAGAGAGAGATCGGTCTTCCATCCTTTAGTTCACTCCCCAGATGGCTGCAATGGCCAGAGCAGGGCCCATCCAAAGCAAGGAGCCAAGAGCTTCTTCTAGGTCTCCCATGTTGGTGTAGGGATCCAAGGACTTGGGCCATCTTCTGCTTTCTCAGGGGCTTTTGCAGGGAGCTGGATTGAAAGTGAAGCATCTAGGACTCGAACCAACATCCATATGGAATGCCAGCACTGCAGGTGGCAACTTTACCTGCCCTGACACAGCTCCGGGACCCTCTTCTTTCTTTATATAAGTCTCAAGAATTGTCTGAAACTATTTGCTGTCCAAATTTAAGAACTCTAAGCAAGAAATAAATTATGACATATCAAAGTTTTGTTTATTTCTTAAAAGGCAAATAACCAGTAAAAAATAAAATTGAATTCAGGTTTAGCAAGTGAAATTAATTACTTAATATTTATGAAGCTATCCATTAAAAAACCCAAGTATGCAATACCCAAACTTTGCATGCTATAAATAGCCACATTTGATGAAATGGTAGAGAGAAACTATACCTTTTCTCTGACAATAAATAAGAGTGGAGAGGTGTTAATAGAATATTCTGTGTAACCTGAACTTTTCTTTCAATGCTCAGTGCCTGTCCTCCATGTGTTTGGTCCTCCTTTGCCTCTGGTAAATTTTAAACTAATTATAATTTTGTATTAGGCAGCATAAGGATAAAGTATGATTATAATAGCAATATCTCATTACTCATGATTTCAAGGCACTCACTGAAGAATAATAAATGAACCCAAGGAATGTCAAATAACTGTCCTACACTTAGGGGAAAAGTAGAAATTTACAGCAAGGTAGTAAAAGTTCGTTAGTTGAAACTTCAAGAAGTAGATAAGTTCTCTCTCTCTCTTTCTCTCTCAAATTGAGTATATGAATGAAATAATTAAAGATTAATACTTTTGCTCATATACCACCCAGTCTAATGTTATATAAGTAATCTGTCTAAGCATGATTCAACAGAATACATTATTTCATACTTCTGTTTTCTAATGAATTTGGCTTAATAGCAGTGGGATGTGTACACTGTCTCACTTCAGTTTTAAGTTTAAAGCAGGCGGAGTATAGGCACTACACTGGCCTGTCCACTGTTCAGTATGTCTGGGCTCAGAGTGCATAAAAGCCCACATACTTAGTCTGTGTGTCTAGAGACGGCAGCCCTCATGACATATGGAGGTGATGCACTGGCTCAGCTGCTTGTCTTAAAACTTCTAATCTCCTCTTCACATTTCACTCTACACTGGGGGACTCTGAGGGGCAAACAGATTAATTGGCTAGCTCACTCTCACCTGGCACGAGAATGGTACATCCATCTTTGGTTTAATCTTCAGTCTTCTAACCTCCATTACACCAGTTTGCAGAGATGTATTTTTATTACTTCCTTAAGTATAACTTCAAGATAGATTGTTGGTTTCCAGCACACACAACCCCAGGGTGACATTCGCTATTTAACAATTACTATGGTTGCTTAAATGATTGTTTCAAGAAAAATTTAAGCAGGCTGGTGTGGTTAAGCTGCTGCTTACAACACCAGCACTTGAGACTGGAATGCCAATTCTGGTACTGGCTGCAGCACTTCCAATATAACTCCCTGCTAATACACCTGGGAAGACACTGGAAGATGGTGAAATGACTTTTGTCCCTACCACCATGTGGGAGACCAGGATGGAGTTCCAGGTTCCTGGCTTTGGCCATATCTAGCCCCAGCCATTGGGGCCACTAGGGGAGAGAACCTGCAGATAGAAGAGTCTCTCTCTCTCTCTCTCTCCCTCTCTCTCTCTCTCTCTCTCTCTCTCACACACACACACACACACACACACCTTGCCTTTCAAATTAAATAAATTTTTAAAAAGTGTTTAAGGCACTATATAATTATACTTTGCAAAGGAAATGCATTATTTGATAATATTCAGTATTTATTATTATCAATCTTAAACAACTTACCCCATTGCATGATGGCAATACTTGCTAAAGCCACAGGAGGTGGCACAGTACATGTGTTCAAAGGGTAAGGAAGCTGTTATTTCTGCTCCACCCCAAATGATTAATAAAAAGCCAGTGTCCCATGCTCAGGGAGACATAAAAGTTCACAGGAAAAATAAACCAATTGTATATACTTGTGTGCATTCCTTTTACATTGGTGAAAACATGTGCCAGTAATGACCTCAGTGAGACTGAGTTGATGGGGTACCATGATAAACAGTGACAGAATCCTCAGGAAACAGAAGTCCTAAAGGATAAAAATAGTAAATAAATTTTGTAGCAGTTATCTTTCACCATTGTTTTCTTAGCTATGCACGTAATAGTTCTGAGAACCTGAAAGTTTTCTCAAGTGAAAATGCATACTGGCAGAGAGAGTAATACTTCTATGGCAAAAAAGGAGGTGGGGTTTGGGGGGGAAGCTGAGATCATAAGAAAATATGGATTTTCCTACAATCATTGGTAATGGGGCAGCAGTTATGGCACCACTTGTGATGCCTGCAGGGCATATCCAAGCACCCAGGTTCAAATTCAAGCTCTTCTCCCAATTCCAGCTTCCTGCTAATGCACACCTGGGGAGGCAGCAGGTTTTAGTTCAACTACTTGTGCTCCTGCTGCCCACATGGGAGACAGGATAGAATTCCAGTCCCCTGAAATTGATGTAGCTTAGCCCCAGCTGTTGTAGGCATTTGGGGAGGGAACCAAAAGATGGAAGATCTTCTCTGTCCCTCTTTCTCTATCTCTGCCTTTTAAATAGAATGAAAATAATTTTTTAAAAATTATTGGCAATTATATTCTGTGTGCACCTCTTTTTGAACTATAGCTTTTGTACTGCTAATACCTGTGTTTTCCTTGGTCATGAAATAGACTGTTTTCAAAATTAGTTAATGAAAGAGAGGGACAGAGAGAGATATGCTCCCATCTTCTGTGTCCCTCCCAAATGCCTGCAATGGCAGGGACTGGGCTAGGTTGAAGCTGGGACTTGAGAACTCAATCTTTTATGTTGGTGGCAGAGATCCAATTACTTGAGCCATCATCAGTACTCCAGGAAACTAAAGTCAGGAACCAGAGCTGGATATATGGTCCAGGTATTCTGATATGGGACGTGGATGCCTTAAGTACTTCCATCCTGACACTATTTCTTTATAAGCTTCAAAGCACATTCTTACTGTGTCTCAATGACAGGTAAATTTCATTATGGGAAAAATCCCATCACAACCAAAATAATTCAAATGAATGTGCTTTGAAGAATATTAATCTTACTACAACAGTATCCATCCATTCCATACATTGTTTTAGTCCAAGTTTTATGTTATAATTGTATATAAAATGAAATATCATACAGTTTAGACATGAACTCAGTATTCATGAAAGATATTTTTTAAATGGTTATCCTTATGATTGCATTTGAGTATATTCAACTGTTAATTTTCTGACAATATTTTCTTAAAAAATATTTTATCTGTTTACCCATACTTTTGTTTTAATAGCTTACAAATGATTGGAAGAACTGATTCTTTCTGAAGTTCCTCAGATTATTTCCTGTAAAATCCTGTTTAATCGTGAATAAGGTATAGTAAAATATGAAAAAGAAACAAGCAAAACCCCAATCATGCCACCCTCCTTGCTTGGAAGTTGGAGACGGTGTCCAGTTTACAGGAGAACTGCAGGTGGGGTGGAGATGGTTATGTTTGGGTGGAGAAGCCAGATAGAGGGCAAGGATGCAACTGATCATCCCAGGCTGGAAGATAGTGGCTGAGGGTGAGAGTACAAGAGCATGGCTCTCCTCTGATAAGGTTTCAATGTGTTAATCATCCAGGGGAATAAAATTCAGAGGAGGATTTTGAAGAAACACAATATACAGTATGGTTTCTGGCACTGTGGTAGTTTAGGAGCAATAAAGAGAAGCAGCAGCCAGAAAGTGAGTTTGGTAGAGCTAAAGAATTAGTCCATTTAGAACTGGAAAAACTATGTTTCAGTTGCATGTTGTCTTTGTACTTTGAACTTTTTGTGCTGATATTTATGCTTCTGTTTTATGATCTTTTCCTAATGACAGAACCAGACTTGGTAGAAAACACCTGAATCGTACCTGGGAGTTTGGAAGAAGCAGGTGCATAACCTTCATTCGTTTCCCACAAAAGAAAATGGGCTGCGACCGGAACTGTGGTCTTATCGCGGGGGCCGTGATTGGTGCGGTGCTGGCTGTGTTTGGAGGTATTCTAATGCCAGTTGGAGACATACTGATTGAGAAGACAATTAAAAAGGTACGAGTAATCCAAACAGTATTTCTTATCATACTACGTATTTCTTCTCTTTTTTGGCTATGGGGACTTACATAATCCATGGTAACCAGTAATTCTGTTTCTTTAACATAAGGGTAATCACGGATCACTGAAACTGGACATGACAGAGAAGTGTCCCTGTGCAAAACATTGCAAGTGTAATGTGTACATAACATGAATACATTCCCATCTTACACACATCCAAATTCAGATAAAAGCTATTCACAGATCTGAAGATTAGTAGAAATATTATTTTCAATTATGTTCAAAGAATATGTTGATGTGCTTTTGAATGAAAAATAATAAGGGTATTTGCTAAGTGGATATAAAGTAGTTGAATTTTGATTCCTATTGATAACAGTAAAATCATGGATATATTAAACACTTTAATATTGGAGCTCAAACATTTGATAAACTGATAAATAAGTTTGGTAAACTGCTACATTTTATAGTAATGTAGTATCTCTAATATGTGTAAAGATGGTTATCTCACAGATACTTTCTAATTATAAAGTTTTATATTTTACTCTCAGAAAATACTTTTTGAAATATATTAGGTGAGATATATCTCAGCATATCTCAACAAGTTGACTGTAGTTTTAACAAAAATTAGACCAATTTGATAGACACTATAGAATTATGTCTCAGCCAAGTTCATTCTCATTAGCCTCACACTCACTTACCAGGACATTCAATAGAAAGAAGATAGTGAGGGGAGGCATGCCTGCTGAAATCCTGAAGTGGGATGGCATATTCAATGGCAGGGTTACAAAAATTAAGCTGCCAAGAAAAAGATAAAATGAAGCACACAGTTGTGAACTTGAGAGTTTGTGTCCTGCCCAAAAGCATATATGTCCATCTTTTAAAACACAATGCTGGCCAAATTAAACACAGCCTGGTCAGGGTTTCAAGGACCTGGACAGAGTTAATGTAGTACACAATGGAAAACAATAAGAATTGAACCAAAAACTGTGGTAGACCAACCAGTTCATACTGAAATTTCTGTTACTGTCCAGAATTTTGTGTCTCTCCTCCATTCATCCATGTCTGACATCATCATCTTACTAGGAATATAAACACCATTTTACTTCATGGAATCATGGACTTAACTGACAAAGTAATATGAAGAATTAATTTCAAATCTCGTTACTCATGACAAGGTGTTACTATGTTTTGATTTTTCTTTAGCTAAAAATGCTAAAGGTTTTTAAGTTAAAGGAAATCTTCTCACTGAATGTTTATAGCTATTGTCTTAGTATAAAATATGTGAGGACTGCAAAAAGTTCATGGGAAATGGAATTTTTAAAAAAGTTTATTTGTGGGCAAAAAAACTTGTAATCCATGCCTGGTTTTATCATATATATTTTCTGTGATTTTTAAAAGATTCATTGCATGGGGGTTTTTTACAGTATTAATGCCTATATTTGAATCCTACATTTATTCAATAATAGTATAAGAATTTCCAGCTCCTCTGTTGCTGATATATTGTAGATCTTCAGCCTCATGCACTGATTGAGTTGAATCATATCTCTGGCCTTTGAATCTCCAGTTCTCCTGACAATGTTTTGCTGTGGGCTATGAAGGACAGACAGGTGATGATGAAGCACAACTTGTCCATTAATGCAAGGTGGCATTGCCATTGTTCCGACACCTTCCCCCTCTGTGAACTGTGCTTCTCACTTGGCCTTTCTCCATTGACAGGACAGGATCAATGTCTATGTTAGCACAAACTATAATTTCTTTTGCAAAAGTCTTCTAAATGGAAAAGTCACAATCATTTCCCAGTGTACAGGCTTTTAGACTCTTTTTCCAGACACATTTTAGATCATCAATAGCTGGACATTGATCCTCTAATTTATTTTCTGCTTCATGCAACAAAGTGTATACCCATTCTCTCCTGGTTGACATGTGAATTCCAGCATATATTTTCAGCCAACTCTTTAATATTTATCCATAGGCTCATAATAATCATGAGAAAATAAAAGATAACAGATGTCAAAAAGTACTTTTTATAAAGTGACTAAGAGAAAAAAATAAATTTTTACCTCAACAGTGTAAGTTGCAACTGGGGGAAATTGTGTCATAAAAAATAGATGTGAGAATCTAGAGTTGAATTGTAGGTGTGTAATATGGAAAAGTAGATGCTGTTTATAAAGAAATATCTCAGAACATCCAAAATATTTCAGGAAGAAGGTGGAACTTCAGTTGGGTTTTGAAGTATGGAGTTTGGAAGTCTAATGGACAACAGCCCAAAGGGAAAGAAGAGGTGGGGAATGTGCCAGGAATGATGGAGTGACAAGAGGAATGATTAGCAAAACAACATAGGCTTAAGTTTAGGAAGTTTTGACCCACAGACCAAAGAATATTTTAACTGATGTTTTAAAATGAAGTAGTAGTTGCTAAATGCTTCTTACTAAGGGTAAGCTATAACAAAACCTACACTCAAGATTGAGAGCATCAAGTGGCTGGGTTTCATGTGGTGCTTACTAAGAGTGCCTATATACCAACTTCTTTAATCTTCACAAATTTCTAGGAGGAGATAAAATTATTTCCCTCTTATTACAGGCACAAAATTTGTTGAATCAACTTGCCAACTTATCTAGCCCCTAGGAAAGGGAGTCAGTGCCAGATGTAGGCAATCTAAAGATACACACACACACACACACACACACAGCCTTGCATGCTATGCTTCCACAATAGAAAGGGCTGAAAAATATGGAGACCTAAACCAGCAAAACAAAAGGAAACTATGTAGGCCATGACCACTTTCAAGAATTTAAGATTCCTTTTCAGAAATGAGTTTGCATAATCTGCACATTATATAGCCAAAGCATTCTGGTCTGGCATGGAGTGGTACACAGAAAACATCAATGGATAATGGAATATAATGGGAGTTTGGAAAAGGGGGCTGGATTAGGAGAGAGGAAATAAAAAAATGCAAGATGTCTATGAATTCTTAATAGAAATACATAAGTTAGGACATGAAAGAAAGATTTTACATATGGTTTGATATGAAGATCATTCTGTACTCCAAAAGTCACAGCTCATGTGGATTTGATCATGGCTATAGAGATGACAGACAAAACAGATTTGTTCTCCAGTGAGATTAAATGAAGAGAGAAAAGAATAGAAAGGTTGCTGCAGGATTTGGGCATAATTTGGAGGCAGGAAGACAAAAGCAAAAAGGGAAAGAAATGATTTCAGATGAAGTAATAGAAACAAGGGGGTGTAATTTCTTAGGATGTGATAGGAAGCCAGAGCTCAAGGGAAGAAGGAAATAACAGAACAATGTGCTTTTCGGTCTTGGTTTTGAAATGTAGGCTATATGTGCCATCTTTCACAAGGCAGAAGGAAGAGGTTAATGGAGTCAGACTCAAGAAGGAGGAAGTACAGAGCCGAGAGTTGAGGGAAATAATGACTTCTAAAAAAAGCTGTCAAATGATATTCCGTTTACCATATATTCTAGACCAAGACTCATCATTGGAATTTACAATGACCATGGTCTGTGGCTGACCCAAGGCCAAGTTCGAGTTTGCTCTCAGATTTGCTAAAAGTATAACAACCATATACACTTTATCAATTTTTGTCATATAAAGATGCTGGAACTTCTTATTTATGTAAGACTATTTCCTTTTCCTTTAGTTTACAAAACTATTTTTAAAATGAGAGTGGCATATGCATATCTTTGGCAGAGAAGATTCAGATCTGTGAATTACATGTAAACCTAGAGAGTCAAGTGTCTCACTCCCAGCTGAGATGCACTTAGGGTTATGTTGTTATTTTACAAACAAATAAGAATTTCAATGCTGTTGAGTTCTCATATGTTTATTATTGCATCTCACCGAATATTACTTCTTATTTTAATTGATAGCAAATTTAGAAAGTGTTATTTTGAAAAAAAAATTAAAATGCTTCATTGAAAAGATCAGAAAATCATCTAATTTTTAAGGTCAACTCCCTCATACCTTCCAGTTCTAAATGATGACACCCTGTTTGTATCATTTGAAATGTTCTAAAATAGACCAGAAATTTTACTTCTAACTTATTTAGCTTTTGCTGTTTCCTTCAAAGAGATGGTTACTGAAGATTTTATGCTTGTTATGATTACAGCTCAACCCCCCCCTTTTTTTTTTACTAATTGATTTGTGTGAAGCCAGAGGTTCACACAATCATTCTAGCAGATTAAAAGTCAACAGCATGAGCTGCTATCAATGTGGAAACCACCAAAGCACTTTGGAAAAGGTCAAAGTTCTGCCATCATTTGCCAAAGATAAAGTATTACTTGACATTGTTAATATCACTCAATAAAATGCTTAGTGAACATTGCACAACAAAGGGAATATTAAATAAATATGAATTTAATTTCCCTGTGTTATTGACTATATCATAGCAAAATGAAACTAAAGCTTTTTTGGCATATTAAATGAGTATTATTCATCTATAGCATTATTTATTTCTATTATTTCTACCATCATTCAATTTTACTATCATTTATTTTCCCTATCCTTGAATAGGATGGTCCTTTAGTAACTTGTTCCTAAATTTACTTTCAGATAAATTGAAATAATAACAAGTTGCTTATTAAAATGACTAGTCTTCTGAAATAATATTGTATATCTTAATGTAAATTTATTTTTTTTAACTTGGAGAAATTGTTCTGTTTAGGATCAGCTAAGAGCAAATGGGAGCAGGGGGTGTGGAAGATGAAGTATCTTAAGTATGTTTCTGCTTTCTGCTATTTAAGGAATATTTACTTTTTTGTAGAGGGAATGCATATAAAAATGATGACAGCAGGAATAGAAGTGTCATAGGAAAGTACATTCGCTATTGGCACATGACTGGTTCAGGCAGTAGAGACTGTGAAGTAGTTAAAGCAGTGTGGGAAATAAATTATATTAAAGCCAACCCTCGGCCGGCGCCGTGGCTCACTAGGCTAATCCTCTGCCTTGTGGCGCTGGCACCCCAGGTTCTAGTCCCGGTTG